CTATAAAAACAGAAGAAAGGTATAAGAAACATAAAAACACATTCTGTAAGAAAGAATATTATAATAAATTACTGGGAAAAAAACAAAAGTAATATTATAGATTTATGGAGCGTTTTAAAGGGAAGTGGGAGAAAAATATCTAAAACTACATAATAMCCTGAATATTTCACTGAAAATGACTGCACTGTTGACTTCAATGGTCTTTTTGTGAGTGTGTGACAAAAATAAGCAGAAATACTGAGGAACACACAAATTCTTTCAAAACACATAATAAAGGAAAAATGTTGAACTTTAACAAACAATGATAAATTTAAAAACAAGAGTGTTTGCACTGACTCGCACAATGATGCCCATCCTCTTGCTCTCATAGGTGAAAGGAAATATCTGCAGGATGGTGAAGTTCAGGATTTGTCCAGTAGGGGTCCGCAGCTGCATGGAGGACTGGTCTCTCCCCACCAGTGTCAGCCCAACGCTCTCGGTCCACTGCACCAGTGACACCTAGCAGCCACACAGGGAAAGGCTCGTGGAGATCATTAAAGTAAATTAAACTGGAAACAAAGAGGAACGTGTTGCAGTATTYATAGCTGATATTTGATATCTTTGCATCATAACTGCAGGACACACAAGAGAGAAATGATTCTTTTTATCTTCATGGTAAAAACATGAGGTTATTTTGTTTCTTTTCTTCAGTCTGGTTCAGTTTAGAGAGAAGCTCAGAGCGCACAGAAGACACAACTTTAATCAATATCTGCAGCGTTTTCAGCACTTAAGGATATTGACTGATAAAGCAGGAGGACGGCCTTTTCTGAAATGAAAACATTGTTTTGGCTCAATGCTTTCTGAAGGACACGACAACATCCATTAATATAGAGCAGTGATGTGAGGGAGGGGGAGATGGGACATGACATTTCCCAATAAGGTCACTTATCACTGCTCTGCTGCCAGGACCAGGGAAAACCAGAACCACTGGTTTCCATGGTCCACCCCAGWGAGGGGGAAGGATTTGGTGCCAAAATGACTTATTTAGCAAATATTTGCCACGTRGTCTGACAAAGTCTGTATGGGGGTCCTTTAACCTCTTCAGCCCCAAAGGGTTTTCTGGATGTTTTTGCTCTAAACCCCACACTGAAATGTAACTGAGTGTATGTCAGCATTTACAAACTGTATTTAAAAAGTCTTGGTATCAAAATAAAGCAACACTTGGGAGATTTAATCAAAACTCCTGGAAACCACAAACCCACCTGTGGACATCACCTGTGCAACGATGCATGCTGCTAAAATGAACTGGAGCAAAGTTACAGAGGTTTGAATAAACAGAAATAATTTAGTGTTTTATCATTCTGCACAGGACAGACCATGATGGTACAGTTAATAAATGTTAACAAATCTGAAGATTTTAACTTCCAAAAGTTATTTTTTGTCTTACCTGCCTTAAAAGACTTATTGAATGTTTTTTCTTTTGAAAAAAATCACCAAACATTTATTTGTCACCATATACTGTATATTAAACAAAATAATGAGAAATTATATTTGACTTCCGTTGGATCATATTCACTCAAAATCAAGAAAAAAAAAACTTTCAACCCACTTTACAACCTACTTTGGTATTTACTTTGACTTGCTTTAAAAAATAACGTCAAATTTTTTTTTTCATTTACAGATTTGCAATGATGACATTTTGTACGGTTTGTATACTTTGATTCAACTGCTTGTTGTTTGAACTGTGTTTGGTGAAAGTAAAAACAGTTTCCATGAGATTTTAGTCAAAATTCTTAGGTTTCTTTTGATACCAAACATGTCCAGGTTCAACTGACAGATCAGAAGTTAAAAGACGTTAAAAGAAATAGAAAAGAGAAAAAGCAGTTTTGCCCCTGGCACCAGGGGTACGGGCTGAAGACGAGGCAGTGCAGCTCTGAGCAGCTCTGAACTCCACCAGGTCAGGACAGATGAAGAAAGTTCTGAGTCAGAGTCTGGAGCGTGGGCTCAGTGTTGGAGCTGGTGTTGGCCACCGCAGCACCTCTGAATGAAAGGGTTAGGATGTCTGGGGATTTGTTTCTAACTGGACCGAGCAGGTCTGACTCAACCAACACGTGGCCCACAGCTTTGATTAGTCAGCAAAAAACACAACCTGAGTCAGAAATCAAACGGTAACATGAATCATGCAGAATACATCACTGTGATCATCTGCACATTTAAAAACTGGTGTGAGGGCAGAGCTGTAATAACCCTGCTCTAATGTCAGGATTCATTAGATGAGGAAAACAGGGCAGCATTCCTCTCTCGCAGACAAGGTCAGAAGTAAAGTGTTCAACATGTCTAAGTGGTATTAAACCGTCTGAGCCATAGGAACCCATAAACACCATGTAAGGCAAAGAAAAGCTCAGTTTCCTGACAACAATACAAACCACCAATACATACTGTATTTATTCATATATAATACTGTATTTATTAACATATAATACTGTATTTATTCATGTATAATACTGTATTTATTCATGTATAATACTGTATT